ATGCTAGGGATAGGAGGAATAATTGAACAAAAACAACCAGATGGAAATTGGAGACCTGTATCTTATTGTTCCAAGTCACTAAGTAAACCAGAAAAAGGGTACAGTCAGATAGAAAAAGAAACTCTAGGAATAACGTATACTGTTAATCGTTTTAGGCAATTTTTATTAGGAAAACAATTTGAAATTAGAACTGATCATAAGCCTCTGGTAGAAATTTTAACAAAGAAACCTATTAACGAATTAACAGTAAGATTGCAAAATTTCAGAATGAAACTTCTAATTTATGATTATTTTGTGACTTACATACCTGGGAAAGAACTTACTGGACCAGATGCTCTTAGCAGAGCTCCATTACCTATTGGAACAGAAGATCTAGATATATTGGAAGAAAATTTTAAGACTATTGCAAGTCTGACAATTACAGCAGAATATCAGGATTTACAGCAAGCCCAACAAGAAGATTTGACGTTAATCAAGTTGAAAAAGTATTTGTTTAAAGAATGGCCTGAAAATAGAAATGTATGTGATAAAGAGCTACTTCCATTTTATAAATATAGGACAGCAATTGCTTTGGTGGAAAATTTACTTATGTACAATGATAAAATAATAGTTCCATCAAATTTAAAAAGAAAATATCTGAAATTTATACACACAGGACATTTAGGAATTACAAAATGTATTGCAAGAGCCAAAAAAATGATTTGGTGGCCAGGAATAATCTCAAATTAAAGATCTTATTGAAAATTGTGAGATATGTATAAAAGATAAACCTCTTGTGACTGAACCGATTTTAAATTTGGAAATCCCTAGTCTACCTTGGTGGATTGTTGGATCTGATTTATTCCAATTTAAAAACAAAATGTATATGGTTGTACAAGATTATTATAGTTTGTTTTTGGAAGTAATTGAATTGAAAAATACAACTAGTGCAACTATAGTAGAAGAACTCAAGAAAATATTTGCCAGATTTGGAATTCCAAAAATATTACGTACGGATAATGGACCCCAATACAATTGTTTATTCTTCAAAAATTTTGCAAAAACTTATGGATTTGAATGGCGTTCAAGCAGCCCATATCATGCACAATCAAATGGTTTGGCAGAAAGTGGTGTTAAAACAGCTAAAAAGATTCTTAAAAGGTCAGAGGATTTCAACTTAGGATTACTTGCCTACAGAAATACACCTCTGAGTTGTGGCGCGAGTCCAAGTCAACTTTTGATGGGAAAAAATTTACGAGAGCAAATAGAAGTTCCAAAATCATTTTTGAAATCTAAATTGCCAGATTTAAAAAAAATTAACGAGAATAAGGAAAAAGAGAAGAAGCAACAGAAATACTATTTTGACCAAAGACATAGAGCGCGGAATGTTGGACAATACGATAGAGGGCAGAGGGTATGGATTTCAGATAATCAAAAAGAAGCATTCGTTCAAGATGAAGTGGCTCCTCGATCTTATAAGGTTGAAACAAACAATGGACAGATATATAGAAGAAATAGAAGATATTTAAAACGTTTACCTAATCTGTAAAATCATATTTATTATGTATTCTTTTGTTGTTACTTAGTTAAGTTTGTGTTTGTGAAAAAAGGGGGATGTACTAGTAGATATATTATAGGTAGGAAAAGGTAACTAGCGACAGATGTCGAAACTGGACAGAAAGTAATAAAGTGAGCTTCAAATATAGAGTATCTTCTATTCGTCTTCTTACACTAAGAAGCTTGAAAAAGTGAATAGAAACTTTATTTGTAAAAGCTGATTTCTCTGACTGTTTGTCAAAATCAGAAGTAACTAATAAGCTTGAAAAGTAAATGTTTAACTTTTATGGTCATAGAGCCAATTTTTTCTGACTGTTTGTCAATATCAGTGGTTAGTTAATGATGTTTGAAAAAGTGAATGCATAACACTTTGGTGATGAAAATGATTCCTTTGACAGTTTGCCAAGATTGCTGGTTAATAAATCTGATAAAGCAAAATCAGATGACCAACCAATCCAAGAAAGTAGCTAACTGTTAACCCACAAACTTATCAAACTATATAATGAATAATTATAGTAAATCTGTGGTTAAAACAGATCTGCCAAATGATATTCATTCAATTTCCACTATAATCACGATTCCCAAAGTAGTTAAATTAAAATCCTCCAGTGAATTGCATCCAATAAATTTGTTTTGCACTATTGACAAAATTTTGGAGAAAATGGTGTATATGCAACTTGTTGAGTTAATAGGTAGATAGAAATAAACTATTCAGTGATTTTCAATCAGGGTTTCGAGTAAGTCAATATTAGTAGTTGATAGTGATTATCAAAAAGTGAATGTGAAACAATTTGATGATAAAGCTGTTTCCTCTGATTGTTTGTCAAGATCAGTAGTTATTAATAAACTGAACTGAACTAAACTGGAAAAGTGTCAAAAATGAATGTAACACTTTGGTAATTAGCCTATCCGAATCATGTGACTTTGACAAGCAAACAAAGGGTTTGTGTGCCTCTTGGCGGACATTTTAATTTGGGTTCGACAGCATCTTGGATAGTCTAATAAAACTTTTCCCCTGAAAGTGGCAATTTGTCAAGATCGGTGGTTTAATTATTAAATTTGATATAGCTAAATCAGATGAGTAACAATTCAAGAAAGTAGGTAAATGTTAACCCTAATAAACTCATTAAACTAAATAATGAGTATAGTAAATCTGTGATTAAAACAGATCTGCCAGATGATATTGATTCACTCATTATTGATAAATAAAACATAGTCGTTAGTATCAAGTCCCGAATATAAAAATATAGTAGATTGTAAATGGATATTTTCCATTGAAAATGATGAAATTGGAAAACCATTTAGATGCTCGTGGTTTAAGTCAACATTACTTGGTAGATTATAATAAAATCTTTGCACAGGTGGCGAGAATCGTAGGTTTCTGGTTTATAATAACCTTTTTAATCAGTTCACCCTTTTAATACATCATATGGATGTATAAACAGCTTTCCCGGATAGGTCATTGAAGGAAGCCATTTTTATGAAGGTTCCTGAAGGCTGAAGGGTGGCTGGCTCAAGGCGTGACAAGTAAACCTCCTAACCAAGTTTGTAAGGCTTTGTATCTATGGACTAAAACAAACCACTAGATGTTGGTTTGAAATAATAGTAAAAGTTCATAAAGAAAATGGGTTTGAAAATTCATCAGTTAACCACTGTATTTATATCTTAGACAAAGGTGCAATATGTAAAATTATTTATGTAGTTCTGTAGATGGTATTTGCCACTGCAGATAATAATACATTGAATAGTTTAAAAGGGATTTGGCAAATAACTGTTCTATGTTTTATTTGAAAGACAGTAAACTATTTTTGGGTAATAAAATTGAAAGGTAATCAAAAATAAAATTAGTCTTGATCAATTTTCATATAGGTACAGTTCAAATGTACATGAAAACTATTTTACATAAATTTAATATGAATGACTGTTGTGCCATCAGCTGTGTCAGCACTCCACTTCCTAGTAAACTGAATTTTATTGGTTTAAATTCAGGAGAAAAACGTGATAGCCCTTGCCGGAATCTAATCGTCTTTTAATGTATATTATGTTATGTATATCAAGCCTGATTTAAGTACCACTGTTAATATTTTGAGCAGGTATTAAAACAAGAATAATAAAGAGTTTTGGCAATATTTGAAAAGGGTCTTTAGATATCTTAAGGGTAAAATCAATGTGAAGTTGACACAATATTTCACTTGTGAATGTATCATTTTCTTGAGTGATTCTATTAATCCTGACTAGGAAGCTGGAGATGATAATATAAACAATATAAAAGCACAACAGGATATTTATTTAAACTGTTTGAAATTTCTGTGATATGTTGGAATACAAAAAGGCAGTTGTCAGTAACGGCATCATCTACTGAAGCCGAATATATGGTTTTTCTTTTTGAAGAGGCTCTTTGGTTAAAATCATTAGCAGAAAATATGCATAAATATTAATATCAGAGTCAATTATGACCTAGGAGGACAACAATGGACCTCAATAAGTATTACAAATAATCCAACAAATCACAAAAGATCAAATCATATTGAATCGATCGTAATTAATATAAAATATTAATTTGTCCACAGATAAACCACTAGCAGACATGTTTACCAAACCATTGATGCAAGTGAAATTTGAGAAATTAGAATGGAATTAGGCTTAGTAAATAAGTTTGTATGATCGGAGTCGGATCGGAAGAATGTATGATAGATGTGTCCCGGCCTTTATTCGGGTTTGAAAAAAGGACGTTTCTAAAATAGTTCAAAACAATCGCACAGTTTATCAATCAACAAAATGACAACAGCTCGGATATCACAAACTTCAATAATAAACTGTGCGATTGTTTTGAACCGTTCTAAAACCGTCCGTTTTTCAAACCCGAAGAGGCCGATTATCTGATGAAGAAATAAGAACAAAAGCGCAGCGACTTGTGGAAACCTATAAAAACGATTTGGTCGATTATTTTCCTCATCAGGAATGTCTTCACTATAAATATTTTCTGATTTCAAGTGGTCACAATGAGGGAGAACTTCTACAAAGTTTAAAGTCTGAAAAAACTAATCCCGACATTCCACAATATCGAAGTACCATTGAGAATGTATGTTTGCCTTCCCTCGACTAACGCGTGTGGAGAGATGTCCTTTTCCAACCTAAGGAGGAATAAAGACTATCTTAGAAACACACTTTCAGATGAAAAGACAAGTGACTTCAGACTTGGTACTAATCAACTTGTCTCATACCATTTTCAATTCAAGTATTTGTCTTTTTTGTATTGAAGAATCTTCAAATGACAAAATATAAAATTATAATATAGGCCAGAGCCTGGAAGGGGGGCGAAATAATTTTATTTGCACAGGGGCGAAAAAAGGCTTAATCCGCCTCTGCATCTACACATGTAGAGTAACTTTATTAAATAAAGATTAGTTTGTATATAATATCGATACAAAAAACACGTTAGAAAGTAATTCGATAATACACAGGTTAAGGCAAAGTAACAAATTAAATCGAAAAAAATAGTTATCACAGCTTTAGACGCCATACGAAAATAAATAGTTATTTGTAAATGTAATAATTACCCTGCGTAAATATTCAACGAAAAACTATTATGAAAATACTGTATCCTTCAATTTTATAGATATTAATTAAAAAAAGAAAATAGCTAATCAAGAAACATAAAATTCATTATGTCATCAAGTTCATCAGTTTCAGTATCTAATAAGTTCACCTCATCATCAACCATATCATCATCATTGAAATAATGAATATCATCGTTATCGAATGTTGGCATCTCTATTTGAGGATCATCTAAGTCCACATCATCATCATCGAAATAATGATTACTCTCGTCATCGAACATTGGCATCGCTATCTCAGGATCATATAGGTCCACATCATCATCAACCACATCATAATCATCAACCACATCATCATCAACCACATCATCATCATCAACCACATCATCATTAACCACATCATCATCATTATCATCATCATCATCTAAATAATGATTATCGTCATTATGGGAAATTGGCATCGCTATTTCAGGATCGTCTAAATTCACATCATCAAAGACAGAATTATCGTCGGAATCCAGATCTTCATCGTTTAACAAATCGAGAACTGGATACGACGGGTCATTATTGTGAAGCCCTTCTCTATTTCTGCGAACCTCTGGTGAACCCACATCCAATTTGGTGTCATCAGGTATAGCGTGCAAGTACAAACATTTATTTCCAAATGGGCAATTGCCGTGGCCCTTTTTAAAATATTTACAATCGATTCCTCGCATTCGATTTTTTTCCTTGGTCATAAAATTGTCTTTGGTTTGTTGGTTATGGAACCAAATTCTACTGGGATACACATGGTCAGATGGTTTTCTACATTCAGGACAAGCTCTCGACACATCCGATTCGAACTCTTTACTTTGTCTCCATTTCATTATACAGTTGAAACAATAGCAGTGGTTACACTTGGAAAGTATTCCAAATAATTGGTCTTTTCGATTTGGTTTTTCCACGACTGTATCATAGCATATACCACATGATTTAGTAGCCGTTCCAGAATCTATTACTGTTGAATTATTACTGGTACTTGGACTAGTAGATTTTAAATTAGACATCTAAATATAAAAGAAAAATTAAATAATTTATTTTTTCACCAATTTGCTGTACCAACAGCAGTAGCTGCTTCAAGTTCTGGATCTTTCGTGTTATCGACCATGACCACAGAGGGTTGGCTAGGGTTACCACGATGCTGATGCCTCTCATTCCTAGGACATCCTGTAGCAAAGTCCATGATGCCAATTCAACTAGTTATATCTCTTTGGACTTAAAAATTCTGCAATAATAAAATACCTATTGCACAGCTGCTGGAACAATATTTTGCTAAGCAAAATGAAGAATTAAGAGCAAGTATGTCACTAATTATTTTATCAAGAATTTTGTTCACTTACCGATACTTTTTCCTATGAACCTTTACGAATCGTTTTAGTACCATGTCATAGACTGTGACACTGTGACCTAGTGACCTGTGTATGTAGTGTGTGTAAAAGACAAAACACTAATAATTTGACATTTGACAAACTGTTGCATCAATCGTTCTATGACATCCACGTGATATCAATCAACCTATCTGTCATTTGACTGTTGTATTATTAGGCAATTCAATCCATCTGTCAAAAAGGAAAATTCAATATGGCCTGGAGGCCAAGCAAGTCTGTTTTGAATATGTTTTTATGCGTATGTTAAATTATTTTGCTTAAGGCCGTTTTACAGCTTGCAATTCTATCTGCAATATGCAAGAAACTTGAACGAGGGCATGCGCGGAAGTGAGTCAGCTGATTGTTTTCTGCAAGATTCTTGAAACTTGAATGGCATTGCATGCAATCAGTTTGGTGCCATTTTTCTTGAATGTTCTCGCGCAATCTGGGGAATTTTCAGCAATTATGATGCTTAAAGTGGCTGCTATTGCTTTCTTCCTGTTACCTGTTATATCGACTTATAATTACTCTTTTCACTTTTGGAAAATGCAAACATCAATAACACAACATTAAAAACAAAAAATTATGGTTAAGGTTAGAAAGGAAACAAGTCAAATTGCAAGGTGTAAAACGACGTGCAAGAAATCTTGAATGCTATTTTTTTGCATGCAAAAAATTACATTCAAGTTTTCTTGCAAGCTGTAAAACGGCCTTTAGAGTTTTGCTTGCAACTTTGATTTTGATTATTTAATAAAGTATTTGTTGACTAGGTAGGTACCTAAACTATTAAATCGGGCAGAAATTAGATATTTTTTTGTGTTTTTTGGCCCATGTGTGGCCGCCACACCATCTTGAGTGTCACGTGGTTTGAATTGCCTAATTCTATGGTTGTATTTAAAAAAAAATGAAGATGTTGGTGAAATAGCAAGTAAAATAGTGCAACTGATGACCATCACTAGTGCTTTAGAAAATAAGCGATAAACGACATTACATTCCGGCACCCATTCGATAAATCGATAGGCAAAAAAAGTCTCGCACCGGTGTGTAGCTCGGCCAAAACTTTGACTCGGCCGCATGACGCACGTGGCACCCACCCAAGGATATTACACACTACTACAAGATTGCTCATCAATTTCGAATTTTGGAATCAAAGTCATATGGTGTTGCATCTTGTATCGCTGCCGAAGTCATCACTCATTAACGGTGTCGTTGGCTGTTTGCCAGTTTGCCCCAGCGGTCGTAGATGAGAATATGCATTTATGATGAAAAATATTATTTAATTTTGGTTAACATTTAACATTATAGGCAAAGAGGAAGATGCAAACCCTGCAAACGAGATCTAAAAAAGAGTTGTTTTTGAATATTTACTAATGTAAAGCGTAAGCAAAAGCAAGCGGAATCATAGCCTGGGGTGCACAGAACCTACGCCACGGCAAAAAATGACAGGCTGTCACGTCATCACTGGTACTTTTGCGTGGTGGGAGCTGGGGGGGGGGCTTGAGATTTGATCCATCTACACCAACCTTGAGAGAGCTTTGTTCCGGTTTGAAAAAAGGGCGGTTTTAGAACAGAACGGTGCAAAACAATCGCACAGTGTATTATTGAAATTTGTGATAACCGATGAGCCGTTATCATTTAGTTGATTGATAAACTTTGAAATGAGTTAGTAGCCTTTGTGTTGCGTGCTAGTGAACGCGTCCATTGCTTTGAATACCTCAATGCTTAGAACCGTTCTATATTCTATAGGATTTTTACGCTATATTTAGGATGACGTCACATTTAGTAAATTTCTGCTGCCAACCTAACCAAACTAAAAGTACTTTTTAACGCATTTTAAGTAGGAGAATTGAATTTCAAATGTTTTTGGTTGGCAACGGCGCGCAACGTTGCATGCCTTGTAAAAAAATTTCAATTCGTTATTTTTAGCTGTCGTCAGAAGTATTGAAACATGACATTCTGGTAGATTATAAGAAAAAAAAATGATATTGACAACATTGTCTGTCCTTGTTTGATGACGTCATCCTAAATATATTATAAAAAACCTATAGAATCGTCCTTTTTACAAACCCCCGAACAGTCCCGAGAATAGGCTATCCTGTGACCCCAAAACAATTCTAAAAAGTTAAGGCAAGGAGTGCTGCGTTGCCAAATTGACGTAAAAGTATTTTATTTTGTTTGGGTTAGATTTTCCTAACAGGTGTGGATAATGTTTATTGTTTAACGAGTGACGAAAACAGCAGTTTTTAAAATATGTAGGTAGGTAATGTTTTCAAGTTCAAGAAAATGATTTTTGACGAAAGTTGTTTATTTTTCAATGGTCAGAAAAAAAGTTTTTTGCAGATGCTAGTTTATTTGTGCAATAAAAGATTTGGATTATGTTGGAATTTTCGACACTTTTATTCAACAATTATTATCAAAACCCAAGAATCGTGAACAGGATTGCTCATCCTAATAAGGCGTACGTTCACCAATTCTTGCATAGACAAGGTCTGCGAGTGACGCCACCACAGCAGCTAATAGTGATGACGTCATTCGCAGACCTCGATGGAAGGCTTGTGCTCGTTATTTGAATTTTTCGTCGATTTTAAATGTAGAAAAGGTGATTTAAACAAGATTTTTAACGTTTAAGAATTCGTTTTTTTGATCTATACTATAGTATAGTGCTTTAAACTTGAATAATGCATTTTACTCCAAGAGTTGATGTCTGCGGCTGACATAGCAGTTGGCAGACACTTTCAGCTTCCAGCTCAATAGGCAGTCCTACTAGGGATTAAAAACAAGATAATCTCTGCCATTTTCTGGACACCTGAAGCAAAGATGATCCGTTTTTTTCCTACGAATGTGCTGAAAAGAAAAATTTTTGGCATGCACAAAGACTAAAGAGTAATCTGTCCGCAGGCCCTTGGGAAAAATTGTGTTCCTAACACTTGCGAGAAATGGTATTTCCCGCACTTGTTAGAAAAATCACTATTTGTTTTTCAATTTGATGTGAAAAAATTTTTCGCCCTGTGGGAGAACAAACGACTTTCCAGTTCCACTCCAATCAAAAGGCAGTGCTTGCTCGTAGAAAAAAAATAATTTATGTATTTATTTATACTCCTTCAAAATACAAAATTTGTAGTTTAAATTTTATTCAATTATCAATTTATTCAATCATATTATGCAGTACAATCAAATTATAAAAGGTTATTATATTCTCTGTCAACTCAAAAGGCAGAGATAATAATTTAAAAAAAACTGTCGTAGCGTGTCGTGGCGCTGATTCCAGTCCCAACATGAAAATGCCAGAAATTGCAACGTCGCATATAAATTGTTCCACAAGCGTCTGCGGATCACACGGAGGCAACGCCACGAATACAGCGCCCATAACGTTTTTGCTGCTTGTTTTTTGACGCCTCCGCCTCCTTGTCCTGAATCCTGATGAATATTATTGTTAAATTCTAGGATTATTTTGCAATTTCCATTTCATAAAATATCCGTAATATTTAACTAAAAATTTTAGAAAAACTAATTGTTTGTGGGTTCTTAATAAATCTTCTCAACGTTTTTTAGCAAGCACGTTTATTCAATAACATTACAAAGTATCTTGAGATCATCACTACTTACAAGCCAAGTGACTACTACTACGGCCAATGACCCGCGACTCTGTTGACACTGATGACTTCTGACATTTAGGAGAGCGTTCAAGAACATACACCAAGGTATAAAGGTGCACTAACTATAACATGCTCTCCCTTTTTTTTTTTTTATTTATTTTTTTTTTATTTTTTTTTTTTATTTTTTTTTTTTTATTATTTCTTTTTTTTTATTTTTTTTTTTTATTTATTTTTTTTTATTATTTTTTTATTTTTTTTTTTTTTTTTTTTAGTTAGTCTTCAGCATCACTAGAATCGAGATCAGAATTCATTACAAAATTATCAAAGCGTTTAGGCTTTTCAGACAGGCGTTTGGGTTTTAAAGTCATTTTTGAATTATTGGCGGCGCCATTATCAGGGCCGGTATTCTCGTTCTCGAAAACGCTCACCGCTTTTGAGTCGCTCGGCACTTTATATGTGAATTTACATTAAAAGTGCCGAGCGACTGAAAAGTGGTGAGCGTTTTCGAGAACGAGAATACCGGCCCAGGTTCATTATTGTCTATTTCAGAAGCGTCACTATCAGGTTCATTATTGTCTATTTCAGAAGCGTCACTATCAGGTTTATTATTGTCTATATCAGAAGCACTTTCATAATTAAGACTTTCCTCACTGGAATCGTTAGAAACAGAAACAGGCATTTCAAGAGAAGCAGAAGAACCTTCAAGGCGCCTATTCTTGAAATAATGTGAAAGGAACATTCGCCTGGGAGAAGTGATCGGTTGCCTCATATTTGTTCTATGTGATGTGATCAAAACCCGACGACCCCGAAGTATCGAAATCAGTATTTTCGAACACGGTGTGAGAGACAGCTGAAATGTCAAAATTCAAATATTTTGAGGTTAACGATTTATCAATCTTTGTTAATGTTAGGTTAGTTAAACTAGACCGGTGGCCCAGCGTCAAATCACCCCCCTCATCGGGCACAAAATTTTCATTATAGGTGCTCGAAACACTTTATCATTCGTAACCAAAAACCGCCCGTCTGCCAGCGATGGGTGGTAGCCCGCCCCCGTGACCGCCCCCCAAATAAGGGAATTTTGATGAAAAACCCCCCTAACGAGTACAAAGATTAAATTTTGTGGGTATGTAGACAATTATATTAGAAACCTAAAAACACGTGGCAGACGCCTTCCAGTGGTAGCCCGTCCAGAGCAGACGCCTTCCAGTGAGAGCCCGTCCAGGGCAGACGACCTTAAAAAAATATATATGACGTAAAACTCCCCTTACGAGTATATTCACAAAATTTTGTAGGCTTGAACACAGTCAGATAGGTGTTCTAAAAATGCATGGCAAACGCGTTCAAGTGGTAGCCTGTTCATGACAAAATTACGCTGAACGCTGAAGCGTTCCTTATTATGGATAAAGAATTGAAATAAAACTACAACATAAGTATTAAGAACCAAAACACAGGTTATGTATTAGTCAAGAGCTACTTAGCATTAATA